AAATGTAAATTTGTTTCCTAAAATGTAAATTTGTTTTTAAAAATTTAAACTTTTTTTTCAAAAATACATTTGTTACATAAAATATAATTTTGTTTCTTCAAATGTTATTTTGTATTTTTATTTGTTAATGTGTTTTTGAATTGTAAATGTGTTTTGCACTTCTCAGCCACCGTATTTTTCTCAGAATTCTGACTTTAATCTCAGAATTCTGACTTTTTTCTCAGAATTTTGACTGAATTCTGACAATAAAAAGTCCGAATTCTGAGAAAAAAGTCCGAATTCTGAGAAAAAAAATCAGAATTCTGACTTTTTTCCCATGTTAGACTGAATAAAAAATAAAAAAATCAGTTAACTCAATAAAAAAGTCAAAATTCTGAGAAAAAAGTCAAAATTCTGAGAAAAAAGTCAGAATTCTGAGATTAAAGTCAGAATTCTGACTTTTTTTCCAATGTTAAACTGAAATAAAAATAAAAAATCAGTTAACTTTTTTTTTTTTTGCAGTGGCCCTAATCCTCTTCCGTACATGTTAAAGAAAATGAAAATGTCCCATCAGAAAGGAATAATCAATGGATCATTATTTATACCTAAAACTAATACGTTCAAGGTGATTTAATGAATTTAGCGTTAATCAGTAAAAAAATAAAAATAATTTTCGTCGCTATCACCAAGTCTGGAAGCGGTCATTTTGGCCCAAATATAGCAACACCTCCCTCCTGCCATCTTCTGGTGGTCTTTGACAAACATGGATGCCTCCAGTAAAGCACATTCAAATGAAAATTTCTCTGAATTAAAACACTGATCATTTATTTAAAAGTATGTCATAATTTCATACTTAAAGTACTTTCAGAAGTTTTAATTCTGAATGTGACTTTTTCCTGATTAACGGTAAATTCTTAAATCACCATGAACGTTTTAGTTTTAGGTGTAAATAATGACCCATTGGTTATTCCTTNGTTTTAGTTTTAGGTGTAAATAATGACCCATTGGTTATTCCTTTCTGACTGGACTTTTCCTTTAAGACAGGGAAATTTGGTTTTCAAAAGTTCATTTCTTGAATTTGTTTGTTTGCTGACAATGTGCCATATTTGTCCAGGGGATTTATGGCAGGCTGTTTGTGTGGATAGTAGATAAAATTAACGCAGCCATTTACCGACCTCCTACCTGCGAGAGTAGCGTTATAAGAAGGTCAATCGGACTGTTGGACATCTTCGGCTTTGAGAACTTCATCGTCAACAGGTAGCTAATCTTTTCTGGGGGATTAAAACTCTGTCTAGCTTGTTTTCCTTGTATTGTCTGTGAAACTTTCTGTCTCCTTCTGTAGTTTTGAGCAGCTGTGCATCAACTTTGCCAACGAGAACCTGCAGCAGTTCTTCGTTCGCCATGTCTTCAAACTGGAGCAGGAGGAGTACAACCTGGAGGACATCAACTGGCAGCACATCGAGTTCACAGATAACCAGGACGCTCTGGACATGATCGCCAACAAACCCATGAACATCATCTCCCTCATCGACGAAGAGAGCAAGTTCCCAAAGGTACAAAACAAACAGATCTTGTTTTTATTTTATTCTGCAAACAGATCCAGTTATACGTGGCGTAAAGACCATGAAAACCATCTGTTGTCCTTTATCTTTTATTAGGGGACCGACGCTACAATGTTGTATAAACTCAACTCACAGCACAAGCTCAACACCAACTACTTTCCTCCTAAAAACAGCTATGAAACCCAGTTTGGCATTCAACACTTTGCTGGAGTGGTGCATTATGAATCCAGAGGTACTTTCTTTAACTTTTTCATCCACATTGAAAGAAAAACTGGAAGATTTCTCTTTGATTTTGAAGATTTAAAATATATTTAGAATAAAAAGCTCATTTGCACTTTAACTACAAACTACATGAATTCAAGAAGAACTAGCAATCCTAAAATCCAGCTGTTATACACAACGTACATTAGTAACAAACACAAATCAGACCTAAACAACAGAAGAGTAACAGGCGCTCTGATCTGCTGCTACAGCTTGATTCAATTCAATTTAATTCGGTTTATTTATATAGCGCCAAATTCCCAACACATGTCATCTCAAGGCACTTTACAGTTCAACCAGATCATCCAGTCAAATTGATTCAAGATTGATGAAATCTTAAATACTGGAAACAAATTCTGATCTGGATGAAAAGCTAAAAATGTCCAACACTAAAAACTGTGATGAGTTACAGTTTAAACACCTACCATGAAATAACATAAATCACAATTTTATATTTTTTTGAGCACATTTTTAACTCAATAAAAATCCGACATATATTCAGGACCTCTGCTTTGATGGAAAACAGAGATTAAGTTGTAAATAATTTGATAATAAAATGATACTTTTATTTATAAATCTGCTGAAGTAATAATCTTTGGACCAATATAGGAGAGATCTAAAGTTAGCACATAGCTTCAGTCGCTTCAGCTAGTAACCACTGATCAGGCC